AGAGCCATCCCCCCCGCCCCGGTACAGCCATCCCCTGCCACGCTGCATATCCCTGGCCTGACATGAACGCAATGGCCTGAGCGTCTGGTCCTGGATCGCACTTGTCCCCACTTTGCTTTGCACCCTGAGGTTTAACCAGGACACTGCAGAAGCAGCTAGTGGCTGAGACATGAGCAAAGCCCATCTGCGTGTCCCCATCCATGTGTGCCCATGTCATCATGGTCACAGGAGCCATGGAAATCAGCAACATTTGGAGCCATGGGCATTTTGTTCCCTTTCCCCCTTTGAGTAAGAAGCCAAGGGCAGCGAGGCTTACCGTTTGCAGCCCCTGCAGGTAATGGTACTGCCCCAAGGCCCATGGTTGCTTTCTTTCCCCCGCCTCTCCCTGGCAGCCCTGCGTAGTGAACCGGCAGGAATTTGGGCTAAAACCCAACGATAAAAAAATGATAAAAGCCATAAAATGACTCTGAGTTCCTTCTCCGTCCACTCCACAGGGCCTGGCCATGCAGTTCCCATGGGGCTCAGCTGCTCTGAAGACTGCAAACCCTACCTAAAAGGAGTGAAATGTCGGATCCCACCCTGTAGCCTGACACCATTGCACAGGGTGTTTGGTGGGGAAGCAAATAGCAGAAAGGCTTGAGAGTGCCCTTGCTGCTCCCACTTTCCTGTCTTGGATGTACTAGAAAGAAAAAAAACCTTTCTCATTTACCTCATTTTGCATTAATACGATAGGGCTGGAGTTTGGGATGGGTCTGGGAGGCAAAAGCACTAGAAAACATTCATAATGGCTTACAATTAATAAATAATCATATTATTATTATCACCATTGGAACAATCACTATCATCATTGCATTTTTATTACTACTATTATTTTTATTAACAGCTGTGACTAAAACATCAACAGTAACGGTCACTGCTGTTGTCACAAAATTTGGGTTTGTTTCCTTCATCTGCAGTGTTTCAAGCCTGGCCATAATTTCCAGTTTTTCCTCCAGCCCTCCCTTACTCTGCTACCTGTCTTCATGCTGTCCCTTCTCCATGGAGATGGGCATCATCCCAAGCCCTCTTGGATGCCCTGCCAGGACCGAGAAAAAGGAGCCTGGAGGCAGTAGAGCCACCATCCATCCTCATTCACCTCATGGTGAATTGGTGTGGGCAGGAGTTTTGGCATGGTGTGGAACCAGGTTGTCTTTGAGGGCTTGGAAAACATTGCAAAGAGCCAAGATATCCATTATTGATAGATAATCCCCTCTGGGGATGCTGTTTGCATCCCCAGAGGAAGCACAAGAAGTGACAACTGGAGGCAGAGGCAGACAAACCAGCCCCAGGAGTCACACAGAGCTAATGGGGAAGGGGATGGATAGTTGGAGCAGGCTGTTGCAGGGAGAGAGTTACTCGTGGCAGCATGTGCCAAGAGATGCTTCAGTCACACACCGTTTCTTGGACTGAGGATGAAGTCCCTGGGATAGATGCTGCAGCCTCTCTTCTCCAGGATATTGAAAAATGCTCCCTTGGCCCATTCTCTGAGGACATTATCTCACATTTTCTTTCCCAGTGCTCATTATTCCCAGACTAGATTCCCCTTCTTCCTTATGCTGGTCACCAGACTGCCAGGTCTGGGTGTGGTTGGACCTCCTCATCCTTCTCCACTGCAGCCAAGAAAGTGGGGGTCAGCCCAGCGCATGCTGTTTAGATGTCTGTCCCCCAAGAGAAAGTGGAGAGCCCATTTTCCAGATCTCCTATCCACAGTTTGATCCAACTCTACAATCAAGAAATATTTCTTCTTGGTTTGGTTGAAAAAGTTGAAAGACTTGACGGATATGAATAAGAAAATGTTTTTGATATTCCTTTGAATACTGTTTTTTTTTTCCTAGAAAATATTTGGAATTGTCCAGCCAGCCCCAAGACGTGGCTTTACTAGATCTTGCTCTGGTAGGGTTTATTTCAGTGCAATTCCTAGGAAATTAATTCGCTAATGAAAGCAAGCCCTCACTAGCGAAATGAAGTCAGAGTCAACATGGTAGGAGGAAAAGAGACCAAGCTGACATGAGGTTCATCTGCATTACGAACACAAGAAAAAGCAGCCAGAGCATGTTCTGATCTAATTGAAAATCTCTAGACAAAAGCACTTTGGTCTCAGAGGGTTTAGGTTTCTGGTCCTTTTTTCCTGGTTGTAGCTTTGCTTCAGATCTTTCGTGTCCTGAAGGCCATGGGATGGGAAAACTCAGATATTGGAGCTTGAAGCTGCTAAGTGTGAAGCCACATCTACTTCCTGTGAGAGGAAATCTCAGCCGTGGTCCAGGGTTGTGGCATGGCAGTCCCAGGGCACCCAGGGAAGGTGGGAAGTGCTGCTGAGGGGACATTGCATGCCAAACGTGGCAGCTGGCTGGAGCTCTCCATGGCAGCTCATTCCCTCAAGTGCTTTGAAAATCATGCCCTGGAGGAAGGAGACAGGCCCTACTAGCATCTGGGATGCATGGGAGATTGTCCTGATCTCTAAGACTCAGACTTGTTGCTCATCAGACGCCAGCCAGCCTGAACACAAGATCCAAATGTACTGTGAGACTGGTCCAAAGCCTGTGGACACTGTTTCTGGTGAGCCAGAAGAGTGTGGCCT